CATTTTATTTTTTTTAGGCCCTCAAGAAGTAGCGGAATTTTATTACAACATATGGATATCTAAACGTTTAATATAATGTGTTAAAATGCTGACTAAATAGATCAACTTAGTCGATTAAACTAGTCGTTTTAGTCGACTAATAGACTAATTTAGTCGCTAAAGTTTTTAGTCGATTTCCATGATTACGCTAGTCGTAGTCGAAAGAACTCTACTAATTAACAACACTAGTTAAATTAAAACTTGTCAAGGCTAATTATTTAATCTGGTAGACTGATAAAAAAAAATGTTTTTAAACTTGAAAATATTCTTTAGTATTGTTTTGAACCTGGGAAAGGAAAAATAAAGGAGAGTTTTTTTCGTTATAACTAATGTAAAAACCTGGCGAGTATAAAAAGTAGCTATAGGTTTAGCTAGTTTAAAAACTAGTCACTTAGCTATTTTACAAATTTGCTATAGGTTTTAATAGCTACAAACTAAGCTTATAGAAACTAGCCAATAAGCTGCTAAACCAACCATTATATTTAGTCCAACTCTAGCTATTCATTTACATTTTACAAACTAATAATAAGTTATCAAAGACCAACTCGAAAATCAAATCTAATAAAACCTAAGATATCGACTTCTCTATAAATATGAACGTGTCAATTATTTTTTCCTTCATAATTCTCTTCATTTTTATGAGAGATCTGCAGAAATTTTCGGATTCAAAAATTTTTTATTTTCAAACCCGCACCCGGATTTTTTTGAAAAGTCGGCCCGACCCGGCCCGGGAATTTTTTTGAAATTTTCTAATATACAACCTAGTTAATTAATTTTTATTTCACCCGTTTCTTGCACTAGGTTTTGGCGTAGATTTTATACTAGGTTTTGGCATATTTTGTGATATCTATTTCCCTATATAATATATTTTATACAAAATAGTGTACATTCAAAAATATATTAATAATATATATCAAATTCCGTCCTTGTCTCATTATTTTCCTTCAAAAAATCAGATAGTTCTATCTAACACTAATCTTTTTGAAGGAATTACATTCCTCCTAATTTGTGTTCAGAAAATATTCCCTTTTACCTTAAAAAAGGTTAATATAGTTAAATTTTTAGCATTTATTTTTATATTTTTTTCTTCCTACTTTATAGTATATTTAATCTTATTTAATATTTATTTTTAGTATTGAATTGGATGTTTTTAAGTAATTTAACAGAATTCTCAATCATGAAAAAATAAATATTAAGGGAGGGGTAAAAAGTCAAATTTCGTTGATAAGATATAAAATTTTGCATAAATTATACAATCTCTTCCAAATTTTTTCGTGTTTTCCCCCTCTTAATTTATAAGACTTCACCAATAAATTAAATTAATTAAGCTTTATTAATTTGAATATACACTTATATTGCGAAAAATTTAATTATATTAATCAATTATAATAGTAGATAATTAATAGTCATAACTTGCCTAAATCGAGCTTATCACAATTAAAATCCATGAGCCACAAATTTTTCTTATTACCTATTTATCCTTGGGTAAAAACTATTTTCAATATTGAAAAACCTTACAACATAGCTTACTCAATCTACGCTATTATAACTGTATAAAAACTAAAATTATTTAATATTAGTACCTTATTTTAGCTATCACTGTAAATCTTCTTGATTAATAAATAGAATTATGATTTAAATTTTTTTTACCAACAGCAATTTATTAACTTAAATATGATTCAATTTTTTTTCTAGACGCTATTCTGAGTAAACCAAGTAAGTGTTTGAAATTTTAAAAAAGTTTTGAAATTAATATTATCCATATTCGATTGTATCTTTTTCTTCAATAGAAGTAAAATTTATTTTCTATCTAATACTGTATTTTGTAATTGAAATTTTTCCTCTATAGAGGCTAAACTGACAACCCCAAATAAATGTTTCTAATATTATACCTTTTTCACTCGTAATCTAATTTTTTAAAATTATATCCATATTCGATTGTAAACTTTTCATCGAGAAATAAAAAACAATTTTCCATACAATATTATATACTGATTTTGCAATTTATCCATAATGTGTTATATTAATTGTATATTCTAATAATCAATTTAAAGCTGATGGCCATTCTGAAAGCAAAATAAATCTATAAAATGTTTAAGTCGATAAGCTTAAAATATAAAGAGTCAGTGTCAAGTATTTCAGAATATATGGTATAATAAACTATATATTAATTTGTTGACTTATTATATAATGTATTGAATAGTTCAACCTAAAAACCTCAGGGCAAGCCCAGTGATATGGAATCAGAGCACAATTATAAATAATAATTTTTCATTCTATTATTTCCAATTTACAATAAAAACGCAATTATTGCTATCCATATTGCCTTATTAGCCTCATTATTTTTATCTCTGATAAATTAACTTTATTTTTAGAAGTATCTTGTATTAGTCCGGTCTTTTTTAATACACAAAAATTACAAAGATTTTGAGAGTTGATCAGATATGACTTGCTTTTTATTCAAAGATTTGAGCCTCACCTGATCCAAATTTTATTCAAAAATCCGCAAAAATTAAAGAATTTTCTTAAGTGAGGAATAAGCATACAATACTTTAAATAACCTAAAAAGTATAACAGTTTGAGTAATACAAAATAGGTATAAAAAGGGTTCAAAATAAATAATTTTATGAGGCTATCTAATCATAAAAGAATACCATTAACCAGGTCTCGTCTCAATTCTAAATCTTTATCATTTTTAAAATAATGCGTTGTCAGTTATATATGTTATATTTCTTAAAATGTTTTGAATAATGCAGTTGCATACGAGGAATTTGTTATAGGGGAGGGGGGATAAATTATTTCTATTGGAAATATTCTAGAGTTTAATATGATTATCATAAGTTTCAGAAATCAATAAAATATAAGCAATTTCTAATAAATAAAATTCAAATATGAATTAATGATAAAATATTAAATATATGTACTTGAAAAATAAAATAGTAGGAATGATGAAAACAAGATGTTGATGTTAAAATGTCGCCAATTATTTTTGGTTATCATTTTATAAGATGATAAACCTTAAAGAATTTGATCTGTTTATAAAGGACTTAAAATATTCTATTTCGTTGAAAGAATGATAAAACAAATTCTCATATATTTTACAAGTATTTTATGAAATATAATACTTTATATTTTTTTTTTTTTTTATAATATAAAATTTTTATTCAATCTATAGTTTTCTCACATCAAATATAAAATAAAATAAAACAATATTATATAAAAACCGAGGTGGGACTACAAGTACCCAAAAAACATGCGTAATTATATTTTAAAATTGTGATTTGAAGGTTTTAATTTGGGACTTCACATGCGTATCTTCTTTCCCAAAAAATTTAAATTCTAATCCGGTTGATATAGCCGAGAAAAAAAACAATGAAATATTCCAAATTCACAAATTATATTTTTACACCGATTGTTATCTCTTCCCTTGGACATATGCCAAGTGGAACTAAGTTTTTAAAAAATATAGGGGTTAAGATAAGAGCCCTTACATCAGAACCTAAAGAATTTTATTTTTTAAAATACTTTATATTAACAATTTATTATTAGATGATTCGAATTGGGGATCACAATTGGATGAAATTCACGGTATATAAATTTTTAGTAACTTGTTACAAAATTCGCATTTCATGAGAAAACTTTTATAGATGGAAAATTTTTTAAAAATGTTTTTAACATAAGCTAAGCGACTAAAATTATATAGTTTTAGAAAACAGATTAGATGAATATTAAATAACAATCACCGACGTAATAATTCATTGATAATAATATATATATGATTGTATTTTTATTAATAAATACCAGGATACAAATTTTAAATATATTTATTTTAGTCATTAACAAGACTAATCTAAGTAAAATGTTATAAATGATTCCTTTATAAGGATACGTTTTAAAATTTTATTTGTAAATATTCCTTTGAAAAAATTATTTTCCTTGCAATAGACTATATTTTGATAAAAAAATTTTCATTTTAAAGCCGTCATTTTGACTAACCCTAGTAAACGTTTAGAATAACAATTTCTTTTTTTATTTGCAATCAAATATTTTGAAAATACAAACCTTTTTACGCTAAATTAAAAACAATTCATTCCATTTCCTATACAATATTTTGATATTAAATCTATTCATTTTAAAGCCGTTAATTTTACTAACCCGAGTAATTATTTAGAATTTATTTTAATTTTAATTAATTGCAATAAAACAATTTGAAAATAATTCTCCAAATTCTATTGTAAAAATTTTTCCGCTAAATTAAAAGCAATTACCAATGCAATATACTAAATTTTGATATTAATATTTATTTATTTTATAGCCGCTAACATAACTACCCCGTGTAAATGTTTAGATACAATTTTTAATTATTTGCAATAAAATATTCGAAATTGTCAACCTTTAGCTAAATTAAAAAAATTATCCATTCCTTATACTATATTTTGATATTAAATACATTCATTTTAAAGCCGCTAATTTTACTAACCCGAGTAATTGTTTAAAATTATAATTTTATTTATTTGCAATCAAATAATTTCAAAATAATTCTTCATATTCGATTGTAAACCTTTCTCCGATAAATTAAAACAATTACCCATGCAATATACTAAATTTTGATATTAATATTTTTTCATTTTATAGTCGCTAACATAACTACGCCGAGTAAATGTTTTATTATATGCAATATTTGAAAATAATTCTCCATATTTGACTGTAAACATTTCTCTGCTAAATTAAAAAAAAATACCCATTCCCTATACTATATTTTGATATTAAATACATTCATTTTAAAGCCTCTTTTACTAACCTGAGTAATTGTTTAGAATTTATTTTAATTTTAATTAATTGCAATAAAATAATTTGAAAATAATTCTCCAAATTCTATTGTAAAAATTTTTCCGCTAAATTAAAAGCAATTACCAATGCAATATACTAAATTTTGATATTAATATTTATTCATTTTATAGCCGCTAACATAACTACCCGGTGTAAATGCTTAGAATTACAATTTTTAATTATTTGCAATAAAATATTCGAAATTGTCAACCTTTAGCTAAATTAAAAAAATTTTCCATTCCTTATACTATATTTTGATATTAAATACATTCATTTTAAAGCTGCTAATTTTACTAACCCTAGTAATGGTTTAAAATTATAATTTTTTTTATTTGCAATCAAATGATTTCAAAATAATTCTCCATATTCGATTGTAAACCTTTCTCCGATAAATTAAAACAAATACCCATGCAATATACTAAATTTTGATATTAATATTTTTTCATTTTATAGTAGCTAACATAACTACGCCGAGTAAATGTTTAGAATTTATTATTGCAATATTTGAAAATAATTCTCCATATTTGACTGTAAACATTGCTCTGCTATATTAAAAAAAATTACCCATTCCCTATACTATATTTTGATATTAAATACATTCATTTTAAAGCCGCTAATTTTACTAACCCAAGTAATTGTTTAAAATTATAATTTTATTTATTTGCAATCAAATAATTTCAAAATAATTCTTCATATTTGATTGTAAACCTTTCTCCGATAAATTAAAACAATTACCCATGCAATATACTAAATTTTGATATGAATATTTTTTCATTTTATAGTAGCTAACATAACTACGCCGAGTAAATGTTTAGAATTTATTATTTGCAATATTTGAAAATAATTCTCCATATTTGACACATTGCTCTGCTAAATTAAAAATAATTACCCATTCCCTATACTATATTTTGATATTAAATACATTCATTTTAAAGCCGCTAATTTTACTAACCCGATTGTTTAAAATTATAATTTTATTTATTTGCAATCAAATAATTTCAAAATAATTCTCCATATTCGATTGTAAACCTTTCTCCGATAAATTAAAAACAATTACCCATGCAATATAAGTCGCTAACATAACTACGCCGAGTAAATGTTTAGAATTTATTATTTGCAATATTTGAAAATAATTCTCCATATTTGACTGTAAACATTTCTCTGCTAAATTAAAAAAAATTACCCATTCCCTATACTATATTTTGATATTAAATACATTCATTTTAAAGCCGCTAATTTTACTAACCTGAGTAATTGTTTAAAATTATAATTTTATTTATTTGCAATCAAATAATTTTAAAATAATTCTCCATATTAGATTAATAACCTTTCTCCGATAAATTAAAAACAATTACCCATGCAATATACTAAATTTTGATATTAATATTTTTTCATTTTATAGCCGCTAACATAACTACGCCGAGTAAATGTTTTATTATATGCAATATTTGAAAATAATTCTCCATATTTGACTGTAAACATTTTTCTGCTAAATTAAAAAAAAATACCCATTCCCTATACTATATTTTGATATTAAATACATTCATTTTAAAGCCTCTTTTACTAACCTGAGTAATTGTTTAGAATTATAATTTTATTTAATTGCAATCAAATAATTTTAAAATAATTCTCCATATTCGATTATAAACCTTTCTCCGATAAATTAAAAACAATTACCCATGCATTATATTAAATTTTGATATTAATATTTTTTCAATTTATAGCCGCTAATATAACTACACCGATTAAATGTTTTATTATATGCAATATTTGAAAATAATTCTCTATATTTGACTGTAAACATTTCTCTGCTAAATTAAAAAAAAATTACACTATTCCCTACACTATATTTTGATATTAAATACATTCATTTTAAAGCCTCTTTTACTAACCTGAGTAATTGTTTAGAATTATAATTTTAAAATAATATTCACCTCGCTAAATTAAAAAATTATGCAATATTCTAAATTTTGATATTAATATTTATTCATTTTATAGCCGCTAACATGACTAAACCGTGTAAATGTTTAGAAATTACAATTTTTATTTATTATTTTGAAAATTATTCTCAATATTTGATTGTAAACTTTTCTCATGCAATATATAAACTATATTTTTATATTTCAATTAATCATTAATGTTTAAATTAATTGGTCATTTATTTTACTTTAATAAATCAATATGAAACTGAAAACAATTCTGAAAGCAAAATATATCTATAAAATATTTAAATCTATAAGCATAAAATGTATTTAAATAAAAATATTAGGGATAGGGTCAAATGTTTCTGAATATATGATTATAAGCTATATATAATTTTATTCAAAAGTATATACTTTAGAATGTTTTAATTAGTCTAACCTAATATGGTCTCAAGGCAGGCCTAGTATTATTATCATGATATGAAATCAACAAACCACGATTATAAATAATAATATTTTATTCCATTATAGTTCCAATTTATAATAAGAACGCAAATAGTATATTGTCCATAGCCCCATAGCTTTATTTTGCATTTCAGAGCTAGGGAGAACGATATAACTTATTTTTTTAGAAGAATCATGTATTGCCCGGTCCCCTTTAATCCACAAAAGTAAATTTTTATAGATTTTGCTGACTGATCAGATATAACTTATTTTTTCTTCAAAGATTCGAACCTCACCCGATACGAATTCTTAATTTAGAATTAGCTTTTATTACATTACAATCCTATAAAAATAATAATTTAAAAAATTTTTATTAAGCGAGGGATTAGCATACAATATTTAAATGAAATCAAAAAAATTAAAACAGTTTGAGGGACATAATATAAGTATAAAAGATCTTTAAAAAAACAAAATAATTTAATATTTTGTCAAAGTCCAAGTCGAAAACGATATATGCATTTGGATTTGATCTGTTTAGAAAGGACTTAAAATATATTCTATTTCTTTGAAAGAATGATAAAACAAATATACTCATATATTTTATTACTATTTTTCCGATATATAATACTTTATATTCCTAATTTATTATTAGATAATTCAAATTGGCAATCACAATTGAATGAAATTTATGGTATAATAATTTTTAACAACTTTTTACAAAATTCACATTTCATGAGAAAACTCTTTTAGATTTAAATTCTTTAAATATTTTTAAAACAAGGCAAATGCTAAAATTATTTGATATTAGCACCTTTAAGAAAACAAATTTTATTGAATAAGTTAAATATTAAATAACAATATATAATGATTGATGTTTTTATTTATAAACACCAACATACAAATTTTAATATTATTCATTTTATTGGTAGTCTCTAACCTGACTAATCTAAGTAAGTATTTAAAATGTTATAAAATATTCCTTCATAAGTTTTGATATTCGATTGTAAATATTTCTTCGATTAAAATTTTATTTTCCTTGCAATATACTATGATATTAAAAATCATTTATTTTAAAACCGCTAATTTGACTAATCCACATAAATATTTAAAATACAATTTTATTTAAATTTGCAATTAAATAATTCCTATGCAATATACTATATTTTGATAATTAAAATCATTCATTTTTTAAAGCAGCTAATTTGACTAAAGCGAGTAAATGTTTAGAATTACAATTTTTTTTTATTTGCAATTCAATTAATTTGAAAATAATTCTCTATATTCGATTGTAAACCTTTCTCCACTAAATTAAAAACAATTACCCATAGAATATTATATATTTTGATATTAAAATACATTCATTTTATAGCCGGCAACATGACTAAACAGATTAGATGTTTAGAATTACAATTTTTATTTATTTGCAGTTAAATATCTTGAAAATAATTCTTCATATTTTGTAAACTTTTCTCATCTAAATTAAAAATTATTACCCATGCAATGTATATTATATTTTTATATTGCAATTTTTCATTAATGTTTTAATTAAAATTTGGGTATGAATTTTTCTAAATTTAGAATTTGTTTTATTACATTGCAATTCAAAAAGAATAATTTAAAGCTTTTAAGTAAATATGAAATTATTTCGAAATAATAAATGGGAAAATATAAAATCTTCTGAAAAATATTATATTCATTTTTTAAAGAATGATTTTTATATTAAATAATACACGATCTTCCTCTATTTTAGTTTTGAATATAATTATTTGAGTAAAGAAATAATCACTGAGAAAAAAAATATTTTTTGTTTTTAATTATGATAAAATTGTCCCCGAATCTACGACAGTTAGTTGATAGAAATAGTGACATAGACTTAGCTTGTTCAATGGTCAAATTGTTAGCCAAAATCAAACGACCATATTGAGATTTATTGAAATTGTATTCTAGAACTTCCAGACTTTTCAAATAAGTCGGTTTAATTACTGTCTTTAGTATTGATCATTGGTCATTACAACTAAACCTTCAGCATCCTGAATCTTAGTAAATATTCTCGAATATTTTATCTACAACACTTTGATTACTTTTAGGAGGCTCCCCAATTGTTTTCCAAGTAACTATATATCCTAATACTCAATATTTGCAAAGAAATCTTTGAGGCTTGATATCCTCAGTTTTGAATGAGACGCGCTTTCCAAAATATTTCATATAAATAATATTACTTCCGACTAAAGACATTTGGCAATTAATTTTAATATCCATATTTGTCTTTTTTAAATTATAAATCTCTACCCCCCACCCCCCCCCCCTCTCTTATTTATATAGCTGAAATAATTTTTGAATGGTAAAAAGAAAAATATCATTTAGTCTGGAATATATATTTTTTTTACTTTTTAGTTTCCACCTTTTCTAGTTGTAAGCTCCTTCACTTATCTATTATATTATTACTCATGCTATCTATTTTTATCTTTGTATTTCTGATCGATTTCATTTGTATCGATCACCGGTGTATCATTTTCGAGGCCAAAAAATCTTGATTTCCCGCCGGTGTATCAAATCAGTATCGACCAGATATCCCACCTGAGTGGATTTATCAAATCGACAGATATCCCAATCCTGATCTCCCATATATTTGTATTTCTGATCGATTTCATTTGTATCGATCACCTGTGTATCACTTTAGAGTCCAAAGTATCTTGATCTCCCCCACCGGTGTATCAAATCAATATCGACCAGATTTCCCACCTGAGTATTCCTCACACTGAATTATCAAATCGATAGATATCCCAATCCTGATCTCCCACTGGTATCAATCCCGATGGATCTCCCACCGGAGTATCGTTATCAAGTCCATTGTTATTTGGTAGACATTGAGCTTGAACGGCCCCCGAGGTCACCATCATCCCATCATCCTAGCGCTGGCCAAGAAATCATTATCATCTGACCCATGAGTTCAGCTGGCCGTCTTTTTTGGTTTATTGGACAAGTATCCTAGCACTCTGCTGTCCAAGCCTGTCGTAGAACCGGGTGGCATTTCTCAGCTCAGAAATTTATCATATCATATGTCTAAAGCCGTACATCATCGAAGAAAAACCCTAAAATTTTTAGCTCCTTACCAGGATTGAACCTGGTGGGTTTACAAGCATACATCACACACCACTTAACCACTCTGGCTATTTAGTCTAGAATATATATAATCAAAATTCCTTTTTATGATAAATTTTTTTTCCTTTAATGTGTTTAATGAATTTTTATTTATTAAGATCCACGCATATTCCCTTGTAATTACTTTTTTTAAATTACAATTTTACAATTCAACTCATTTTACTATACTAGAAATTGACTTTTAAAATTAAAAAAACAACTGCAAGATCAAAATTTTAAACCAGAATCGTTAGTTTGAATATTTTTTGTTACATATATCAAAAAGAAATAAGCTGCATCCTAGGTCATCTTATTTCCCTCTAGAATTATAAATAGGGCTCATAATAGAATCTAATTTATAGTTTAAAATATATAAACTTAAGTATAGACTTATGTTGTTAAAATAACAAATTACCAAATATACTAGAAAATCATTAAAAACAAAAATATGTAGTTAAATGTAGCATGTAACTTTTATAGTTACTCTAAATATTATTTATCTTTATACATGATTTCCGAAATTAAAATTGCCGTTATAGTAGTGTAACTATTTTTTAATTTAATTTAATATACATTTAAATTAATTTTATTATAAATTTGATATTTCCCGGAATTCTTTTTGAAAATAAATAATTTATAAGTAACTTGCAATGTAATTAGTTCCCGAAGTAACTAGATACTTAATTTTTTTAAAAACTTTTAATAACCAGTTACCTATTTTGAAATTATACTAGTAATGACAA